GGAACATGTTTAAGAGATAGAGAGAGTGATGGAGAGAGAGCCCGCTACTCCTCCTAATCTGTACCTCTTCTGCACGTGATATCTACTTGCAGCACCTCCAGCACCTTCCCCCTCCCAGCACCTCATCATGAACTTGTCCAGTTATTCTACAGATTCTCCCGGATACAGCCCTCCTGTATCTAGATCTGCCCGTCAAGCTCCAGTATCTAACCCTGAAGTTGAAGTGTCCTGTTCCTTGTTCCAGAGTCAAGACCCCTGACTCTAGTGAATTTTGAACTTTACCTGAAGTTCTCCAATAAAGTTTACGTCAGTACGAGATATATATCTCTGGAGAGAGGTGTGAAGCCTGTGATCTGCAGTCGAGCTGGTAACACCTCGTATTAGAAGCCCTACCTTTTACCAGTAATCTACCACACCGGCCCAGTAGACAGCCCCTTCTACCTCCTCTCCAAGCTCCTTCTAGAATCACCTCCGATCAGTTGGTTCAGCCTCCCCCTCTCCTCCTCCCCTGCTACTATATGTGGTGGAATGTAGGGTTGAATGTAAACACTCCCACCAATGTAAACAACAGGCCACGATAGGAAGTAGCAACCCAGGACGGTTATTATTAACTCACACACCACCACCCAGCAGCAGCACACTGCTAACCGTTATAAGTGTGCTGCGTCATCTTGCTAATTGCGTTTTCTCCCACTGGACACGGCTTCTCTCATTCTCCGCCACTCTCCGTAGCTCCGTAGTAACCATCCACACGCTGCACACATACTGGTCAGCTTAGTACGTTATTTTTATTGTTTTCTGCCGCTTGTTAGTAGGAGTTGTTTAGACCATGACGGATCCGTTAATGAGACGATACCAGGTTAACATGGCAGCTTTGGATCCCAGACCTTTGCTATATTTCGATAAGGAGCAATCTACGGTGTTCCGGGCTCTGAGTCGACAGAGACGACCTGCTTTTAGACAATCTTCAACTGGGGACAGCAGGAAGTTTTCGTTCAAGAAACTGGAAAAAGACAAACGATCGAAATCGTTTAGTGACATCAGGTCAACTGGTGAGTAAGGCCTGTTTAGTGATTAAATCACCAAAATATATGGCTCTTATCAAGGAATTACTGCTTGATGATGTTTACGTTTTTTTTGCAATATTTTCACCTCGTTAGTCCAAGGAAATCCTGCACTTCACTGCGTTTCCCATATCAAAAGTCGATACACACGTATTTATCGGAAGCCTTGATATAGTTAGCTTTGTTGCTGGAATATTAAATCATCCCTCTAAAATTAACTGTACTTATACCGGATGGTAGGGCCGGAGAAAAAAGGAGAAAAAATTCCTTCTATTCCTTCCTTCTCTTCCGGGCAGGAGTATCAGTTTTATGTAGCAGCCGGAGGATGTGTGAAATGTCCCGTTATAGTACTGCATACCCATATATGCCTGCTCAGTGCAGTGCAGTGCAGTGCAGCTGTTGCTTTCGTCACTTGTCCGCGTCGTGCGGCACTTTAATACGCACATGGTATGCGACCTCCATCAAATATGGACATGTATCCCAGCACGCATTTCCTTGTCACTTAGTAGTTCCCACCCTATCGAAGAGACGCAGGGAGTCCTGTATTTTCTGCACGGAATTTAATTTGTTTCCTGCTACATATCCTCGTTTCCTGGTCTTGGGTTTTAGATGCTTCTCAACGCTTTAGTCTATGTTTTGGTGTTTTAGCTTTGGTTGCAAATTTCTCTTTCTTAATACGTTGTGTATAAGTACATAGTTTGTAGATAAGATATAATCAGAAGTTTGATACTGAGTAACAATACTTGTTAGTACATTGCGATAAGCCTGCACTAGTGTTACTGCATATTATTGCACAACCTTAGTCTGAATGAAGTAATAGCTCGGAATCGTTGCTTGCGATCTGCAAATTGTTGCAACAGATACGCAGCAGTAGTATGTTTTGCAGTGTTGTGTTTCATTGCTATGCCATTTTCTTGCGTCATAATTTGAACTTAATCGATAAGCGATAGACGATAGGCCCCTATATAAAGGCCTTGTTGCTTGCTCCAGCATTCTCGACCACATGACTCCGCCGATCAGCTCATCTCCTTCCTCTGCTCAATAACCAGTTGAGAGTACCATCTCAGTACCATCAGGGTACCGTCCCGACTGATATTGCAATATTCTCTCTCCACCTGTCAGGAGCGCTCTAAAAACCTGTCACCACCACCTCTGTAAACTAGAATTTTAACTCCATAAAAACGATTCTTTAATAAAAATCATACTTTTACAGCTGTATCCTCTGCTCTCATTTTATAACTCGACCATTTCCCCCTCTCTCTCTCTCTCTCTCTCTCTCTCTCTCTCTGGTACCTCCCCGAGTTGAGTCTCAGAGAGCGGGTCACATGACCAGACATTTCCAACTGTCTGATTGTGTTGAGAGTGAGTGGTCGGAGAGAGAGAGATGGCTACTGATGGCTACTGATGGCTACTTGCAACCTGGTAATATCCGGCTGATAATAACTCGGCTACCTCTCTCTCTCTCTCTCTGTCTGGCTTGAGGAGCTGCTGCTGCTCTGTTGCTTGTCTTATTAATATCTTGTTATGGAAAGTAATTTGCTGGTCCAGTTTATTGTTGTAAATATTTGCAAGACTTGTGCAAGTAGTATTCGTCGTGAAAATTTAGCACATAATTCAATTAGCTCGAATTAATTTTCGTCTTGGTGGACTGGAGCTGCTGGTATGATTTGTCTGGAATTAATCGACTCTATCTTTCCACGATTTCTATCCAGTCAAAACACCTCCGTCTAACATATACTCGTTAGATTCTCCTATAGTTTCACTCGCTTGAGTTTGTACGCTTGCCAAAAGGCCAGGGCTGGTAAGTGGTATTGGTAATGGTTTTGGCCCCGTAAATTGCTGTGATGTCTTCTAATTGATACCTTTAATGGCTAAGTATATACTGATGTATTTGGTTGCCAGCCGCAAATAGTTTTAGCACCTTTTATTACTATTAGGAACACCTTTTATGGTCCTGTAGATTGTCATGGTTCTCAGAAACTGGTTTTATCAGAAGTCATGATTGCTCCAAATCCAACGAACTACCCACCACTTATCCTGTCAATCTGACTCCGATAGAACTCTGTGCACTCTAAAGCTCTTAACTCCACTCAATAATAACCACAGTTCGTATTTCCATTAGCAGTTGACAATCTCAACTGAGTTGTAGTCTTTCGACGAGTCACCTCAAAACTCGGCCTTCTTTCTGATCTCTCATTAGAACACACTCTCAGTCTCAAGTTGAGACTGAGAGTGGGCTGCACTTCTAGTGTTGAGACTCTCAACCCAGCAAGTTTATACGGCAGGGCGGCGCTTCTTGCTCACAACACAGTTACTAGTTTCCGGATTGAATATATGGTGTTAAGTGCTGTTCGGAAAGGGTATAACTTATAGTACACACTGTCTTATACCTCATTATCTTGAGTTAATAGCTGTGGGAAGGGACTCTGGTACCTGGTACGGGTTGAAATGAGGGCGTGTGTATTTCCATTAGTTCCGAGTTATATCCTCTGTTTAATTGAGTATCATCTCCCGCTCGTAGCTGGGTTTCAAGTTAGAGCAGTTATTGTTCCCAGATCAGCTGCGTTTACTAATGATTGTTGTATCCGTAACTTGTTGATTTGGTCTAGATTCTCCGTTCAGGTACTGGTTATCGTACCCGTCGCTTCCTTCTTACCCACAGTCTGCTACCTCGGAATGTCAGACACTTGTGTCACGTGTATGCCCAAATACGGTCATACTCAGAATCTCCGAGTCTTAAAGCCACATCAGCAGGTTTTCCTCATGATTCCCGGCTTCCACCCTCAAAGTGCACTGTGCCAGTAGCGTGTCTACACCCAGTAGGAAGTTCCAGTAGGTGATCTACCTCCTAACTGCTCATCAGTGCTCGTGCCTATCACGTCTTCTCCATACTTGGCAGTCATCAGTGTATTCAGTCACGTGATGACTGTATATGGTCACTACATGAGCTCGAGGTTGTTCAAATGTAGTAATATTATTACTGTTATTACTAATAACAGTATGAGACTACTCTCAGTGGGAGCTGGTACAGTGAGCCCACGCACGGCACGACACGTCCCCTTGACAAACATCCTACACACTTGCAACCTCATTTAAACTCTGCCGTCCCTCCCCCTCTGAGGAAAACTCTGTAGAAATGTTATCTGAACACATGCATACTTTCTCTACACTGGTATTTTAACACAGCTCACACAGTCGACATGTTGTAACGTGGCGCGCCACTGTCGACTTTGCGTTCACGTGCCCCGCTGTGTTTTGTTAAAAGGAGGACAGTTTTAGAAGGAGGAGTGTTTTAACAGCAGCTCTCTCAGAGAAGATGCAGTCTATGTGAAGTTGAGATAGAGATTATCCTTTGCTTGATTGCCACAAACTGTTACAAAGGGCTCGTATATTATACGCATGCTTGTTCGGCGTATGATAAATGAGATTACAGTTTAGTACTGTTTTGTGCAGTTTATTTGTGTAGTGTTCTACATTTGTGCTTTTTTCTCTCTGATTTTGGTCTCTCTGATTTTGGTCGTTAACCTGGTATATTGACATCGTGTTTTTGCTTTGTTACATTGCAGTTTTACTCATCATATCACTTATTAGATTTAATCATGTTTAATGAAGTACATTTGTGGAAAGGAGAGCGCCCTCCTGATCAGACTCATAGAAATATATGTAAGTTCGGAAGAGATTTGGAAGAAATTTTAAAACTGGATAATCACACACGTATAAATGCGCATGCTCATAGGACTCATCGATCATCGATCAGTCATAATCCCCCCCCCCCCCCCCTACAATCTTTAAACCGTCTGTTTGTTTGTAACCTGTGGTAAAGTTGTCATGTTGTTGTCTAAGTTTATGATTCGGTAATATCTGATCGCATCTAAAATACTGTTTTCAGATCTTAACCCTTTTTGTACACATTTTCTAAATTTTATTCCATTTCAGTTGCTCTATTGAACAAGAGACCTTCAAACCACGAAGTACGAGACATTAGCCATCAAAATGTAAGTACCACAATATCAACGTACCAAACGTACCATTGTAATGGCTCTTATCTTCATCAGTTTTAAACCTATTTGCTTTGCTGAATGTCAGAATCTGTAACTTGAACTGCCCTAATCTTACTTCCCGCACACCTGTAACACATGCAACCACCTCCAGGGAGTTCCAAAACGTCAGCACTCACGTGACACTGAACAAACACTACACCGTCGAGTGAGTGTTACAGACAGCCACATCTTCCTCCGACCCTCCTCCCCTGTCGAGTCGGACGAGGACTACTTCTCAGACGATTCCGACTCGGAGAGCTGGAGGGACAGTGTTAACTCTGATGTCCGGATCCTCATGAACAAGGACGACGAGGAACGTCTCCACGGCATCTTCGAGCTGATCAACACTGAGAAGAACCACATCAGGGATCTGAAGATCCTGATCAGGATATTCAAGTACAAGCTTCAAGAGAAGAGGTTCATAAACGAGCCGGAGTGTGACCAGTTGTTCCCTGCTCTGGATGACTTGTTAGATTCGTGTAGTAAGTTGTACACCCAGTTGAAGGAGCACATGGAGGAAGAAATAGATTCCCCACATTCCAGACATAACATCGGCAGCATCCTCATCGATAACTTTAGTTGTAATACTGAAGCCGGACGTTGTATCAGAGGTGCGTATGCTCGATTAGGTGCTAAACAGCTCATTGCTGTCAAATATTATCGTGAAAAAAGCAAGGATAAAGCTTTTAAATCGCTGATGGATAGCCTTGAATCAAAAAAGGTATGCAAGCGAAGGACCTATGCAGATTTCTTACTGGCTGTGACAACCAGATTAACCAAATACCCCCCACTGCTGAAGAATCTCTTCAAACATACCCCCGTTTCCCATCCCGATTATAATAGCCTCAGTGAGGCCATATCAGTAATTGAAGAAGCTCTCCACTATATTGACAATTGTGTGAGACGCGAAAATGAGCGAACTGAGCTTAAAATGTGTAATGATAGGTTCGAAGTGAAGGGTCGATGTAGTAGAGAATTGAAACGATTTGATCTAACTTCAGATAAACGGAGACTTATACACCGTGATCAAGTGACACTTCATTCAACCAAGACTGGTAGCAAGGACACTAAGCACCGCCACCAGCTCTTCCTTTTCAGTGACTATATTCTTTTGCTCAAGGAAAAAGACAATAAACTCATTCTTAATTTCGACGACACGCAGTGCCCGGCTATCAAGGTCAAGAGCTGCCTCGTCAAAAATGACAGTTTAGAAAAACTAGGTTTCATGTTGATCAGTAACTCTGGGAGAAAACCAGATTCTCCTCAAGAATCAATAACAAAAATCAGTCCCACTTTGTATCGATTTTCCGCGGACACGGCGGACAAAAAGGATACCTGGATGAGGCTTTTAACAGAGGCCACGACGCTGGCTGACGAGGACGATGTTGATCAGACGGTTTCTAACGGTCTCAGCTCAGACGAGCGATACGACGACTCCGAGGAGAGTGATATCGATATTGCGGCGAGCGAGCGGGACCCTTCCGTCTCGTTTGATAGTGATAGTGTGACCGATCTGATGGTATCCGCGGAAACTTCCAGCATAACTACTCCTGGTATGTTTGTTTTTATTCGGCAGTTAAGATCTTGTTTTTTTGTTTGATCTTTTGTCCCCGAGTAATCAGGGTGTTTTCTTTGCATCTCCCTCGCAAAAGAAGTTTTGAGTTCTATTACATTAAATTATTGATTATTCGATTAAGGAGTCCAGATCTTGAATTTCATATTTTTTTCAGATTCGACCCGACATTTAGCGTTGGAAGATATCGAGGAGCATCACGATGATTACTTGGTAAGTCAAACGGGCTTATTACCGAAATATTTTATTCCATACCTCCGGTCCACTACTAATTGAACTTGTTACACTGTGTTCTCTTTAGATCTTATTAAAGCTGATGTAACCCACCCCTCCCTACAGCAAGAAGATCCAACTCTTGATTACGACGACGATGATATAGAGCGATTAATGACCGTTCTGAGGAGTATGAACACCGGGGGAACCAGGGTTCGAAAACCCACCGCGGGTCCATCTTCCAAGAACGCGTTTAACCGACCCTTGCCGCGACAGACCCCGAAGTCCGGAGCCGCTGCACGACGGGCGGTCAGCCTTCACTTAGCTGAGAAACAGGTCAGTCAATGTTTTGATAAGGCGTATGTGATAGCTTTAAAGTGAGCACGTATTAGGACTTAGGAGTCGCTGTAAGATTATTCAGGATCACACGCATATTTCCTATATTTCTCGTACGATTCCTCCAGTTTATATTCACTTCAACTCCACTTCTACTCTTGCCTCTTTTCTCGGGCATGTTTCACCTTGTACAAAAACTAACCAGCCCTTCCCTGAAGCGAGTGGAAGAAAACCGACGTCACACGACCTGTCTGTCAAAGGAGGAGCTGAACCAGGCCATAAACCAGACCCTACCCGCCAACCAGACACTGCAGGACAACCCTGTCAGACAGAAGAGCAGTGATTCTGGGTACGCTCCAGATGATCATTCTCTACACGTCCATCATCAGGTGAGAACAGTTCAAGTGATTTGAAGTTTGGAAATAAATTGATAGCTAGTACTATGTTTATTTGCCGGCCTCGTTTCCAAACTTGCTCGATTAAGAATAAGACCAAAGCTCCCAAAGCTAGACTGATTCGAGCTCATGAGAATGTAGCTAAGTAATCTATTAAAATTAGCGCCCCTCGGGCCAGAGTAAAGCTCAGACATCAATACTTACTCCAACTGTGTGAATATGCGACATATCCGTGTCAATTACATTGCATTATTAATCTTTCTGGGCCGCGGCTTAGAAGTTTCCTTTATTTGTGGGACGTGGGTCACACAAAATGTCCACCTCAGCTCTTTTATACTCACCATTTCTCGTTTTCCCTCTGAATTGTCCTGAGTGTAATAATGCAAGTGAGTGTAACGCTACCGGCTACCATTCAAAATATGTAGGTATAGAAAATGTTGGCAGCCGCAGCTTCCTCTCCCCGGCTGCAAGATGGTGTGTGACTCAATATGTTTCCTGCACACATGTCTGTAATTGGACCAAATTTTGTGCTAGTTTGCGAGTAAAGGTTTCCCAGCTAAGCCATTGGGCACGGAGTACCCATCAAAGTATCGGCTCATTGTCGATATTTACATCAATTACAGTTGAGCTCCGGGTAGCCACTGGCCGTGGCGCCCGGTATGGGTTAGGAGGAAAATTTAGCGCAACAAACAAACTTGCTATTGATTTAATATCATTGAAGTTAGGGGGACAGATTAAATCATGGTATAGATTCTCGTTCTGCAGATGCCATAGAAACTATTTTTGGCCCCATCGGTGTGGGAATGTTATTAGAAGTGACTGGTGAAATATCCCGGTACATATTGTCATACTGGGCTAGGTTGGTGGGAAATTTTCCGGAATATTTTAAGAGTTGCACTTTATTCTGAAATAAAACCAACTGTACGTTTATTACACGTGTGTATCTACCGTTTACCACGCCTCGGTTGGCATGACAATATAGCATGCTTCTTGAAATTCTCTGAATTTTCTGAAGAAGCTGGTGGTTGGAATGTGAAATATGCAGTTAAAAACGGCCCTAACTGTTCACTAGATCACAGCTCTCTAAATATTCTGTAGCTCGCCGTGTGACCCGAGCCGCACTTTGGTCACTATTATAAAGACACAATTGAAACACAACAATGGATATTAGTCGAGCAAAACCGCTAGGACAATGAGACCTTTAAAACTTAATCGTTCTAATATGACCAAAACTGTTTGACACAATAAATCAAAAACTTTGCCACATCTAAGACTTGTAGTTACAAAGCACTACATAACATATTATATTTCGACCATCTAACAATACAATCCTTTCAGCCAAACAACTCTCACGCGCTGATGAATATGAGAGACGCCCTTCTGTGGGTCCTGCAAAAGAGTCGGAAGAAGAGTGCCGAGATGGAGGAGCTGAAACGGGAGAACGCCGAACTCAAGGAAAAGGTGGAGGAACAGGGCTCTGTCATATCTAGGTAAGTTGAGATCTGTGCTGAGCTGTGTAGATCTGTGTAGTTCTGTACTATGTAGATCTGTGTTTGGGTGTTTTCGTTAGGAACGGCTTTTAGAATTACCCTATAAAAACTTTGTGCCGACGATTTATAAGTTCTGTTGAATTAAAAATGCTGTTTTAAATTTTTGTGAGATAATTTCCTTTCCTGCTCTTAATTATTAATGTAATATTGTGATCTAATAAAACAAATCACCAGGTTAGATGAAGAATTCAAAGTTCTGAAAGCAGCCCTGATGTCGGACCAGTCCATGTCCTCATCCCAACGGGCGCGCTACCGTCCCAAGCGAACCCTCAACACCAACACCGACAGTATCACGGAAGAAAAGTCAGAAAATCCCCAGACTCGCGTGTGATCGGCGCGTGACCCTCCGCGCGTTAGCTCGCGTGACGTCATAGACCCACGTGACGTCTTCATGACGTCTTGCCTCCATGTTGAGAGATAGAAACAATGCGTCGTGCTGTCCCCAGGAGAGAGAGAGGAAGGAGAAGATGGACTATCAGACAATATCTTTATGAACTGACACAACTGTCGAAACTCGTTATAGCTGCATCCTTTTGACAGGGTCTTTTTGTATTTTGTATTGTTTTTAATTAAAATTCTTCGCGTTTTAAAATAAAATTTATTGTATGTATTTATCCATTTGATCGCTATTTTGACGACTTGGTTTTACAAGGTTCAACAAAAAGCTGGGCAATTAAGATTTCCGCTTTGAGTGAGAAGTCCTAACATCCGCATTATTATTTAGGCTTAGTAAAACCGCTTCACTCGTCTCAGACTTTGAGGGATAAGATACTTCGATCGTTCTAGAATTTTCGATCGTTGCAGTGATTTTTGTTTATTTGGTCTGGGGTCCTGGGTTTACATTATTATGGTGTGCTTTTCACAGTGCACCGGTCCTGCTATCTGTAAAACTAAAAAATCCACCGTTTCTCAGACATTTGTAAATACATTTAAGCATTTTAAAGTCGTATGCACGTCTGACCCTGGAAGTTTGAAAAGATTTCATGTTGAATATTGATCATTATATCCTATGCTTTTAAGTTTTTATTTTTCCAAAAATTGTTCATGTTTTGCAAAGAGTGCGATATGTAACGTTTCACATTGCAGTGTAAATTGTTTATGTATTCGGAAAACAAGTACGAAGATGTATTATTTCTACAACTACGAACTATAGAATAGCCCGTGTTGGAATTCACCTTTATGCCTTATATTAACTGCCCGTCTGTTCTTGAGGACTGCTAAAAGTAAAAGTATAACTTTAATGAGTACAAAACTGATGGTAATGAGTCCTTAGAATTAAGAACAACAAAAGGTATCTGGTATTACATTTGTAATTGTATCGCCGTGGCTATACTACTATCACTATAGGCTATAGTATAGCCACGGCGATACAATTACAAATGTTAATTCGCCATCTCTACTATAATTCAAAGAATTGTTTTTGTTGTATGTATGTATGTACGACCGCCCACGTGCAAATTAGATGAAAAATAGGAATTTAGGTAACAACCAAAAACTTCCATAACAACGGTGTTTTAATGCACACATGCACGTGCGAAGATTGTTTTAACGTCATTTTGATCGGTTTTGTGGTAATTACGTTGTGTTTTAAGTGTTTTATATTTAAATCGGCTGTATCTACTTCGGTTGAGATGGATATTTTTTGATGCGATTAAAACTTTCTTTCAAAGAATACTACTAGTACTAGCTTCGTCCCTGTTACCACGGGCTTTCTAGTATACTTATAAAAAGTAAACCATATACTGCAGTTCCGCAGTTTCTATTTTAGATTGCCAGTGCCAGAGGACAATTCAGCTTGACGAATGATACTTGTCTAAATTTCTTCGAAGTCTAGTAGCGCGCGCCACTTTCTTTTTGAAATATTTATACCCGAGGCATTGAGGCAAGTGCTACGAATCAAACTCAAAGTAGTACTAGTATAGCGCGCGCCGGATTATATTAGTCCATTAAAGCATTTATGCCATTTGCATTATATTTACATTATTAACAATTTACAAAATAAAACAAATAATTATTTTTACGGCACAATCAAACAATATTATAATATATAAATCAGGGGATGTTTGACTTTGAGGAGGTTTCAAGTGCCGAAGGCCACTGCATATTTTTGGATTTGAGAGTGACCTGTGCATGCTTGAAACCCCCTTAACCATCCACTACGTCAGTACACTTATTATAAAAATATAGAAAAATACAATAATATAAAATTACTTATTGCCTTATTGGTTTTATAGTTTGGTGACACAGAAGAGCCCAGTTGAGTTTTAGTTAAGGTTGTTAAGTTTTAAATGATAGTTTGAAAGGTTAGCCATGTTTTATGGCAGAGAGATATTATGTGTGCAGAGCTGTACCGGATGTAGAATTTGAGATATAATATAAATTAGTAACGTAACAACCAAGTATTATAGGGTCATTTCGATTTTGGAGTGATAGAAAGTGCTTTTTGATATAAGGTTGGATTTAATAACACCTGACGAGGCTGATAACTGATAAGTCTGAATTTTTGGAAGAAATCTTCATTAGCATCACATATTTCGAATACATAAGGGTCAAGGGATTGGATCATTCCAAATTTTCGTTAAGGTGTACAAAAAGTTTTGCTAGGAGATTTCGTTCTACTGAACACTGAAAAGTGAAGCTTCGAATATCTTGCTCATCAAAAATTTCGTGAAAAGAGATGCCATGGCGTCCAAAGTAATATATATATTTAAGTAATATATATATTTAAACTGCCAATACTAATTTCGAATCATCCCTTGTAGCCTTATCAGAATAAAGACCAGGTAGACAGGAAGACAAAAGAAAGAAAGAAAACGACAACAGGTAGGCACGAAGCCAGGTAGGCAGGAGGGTAACCAAATAAGCAAGAAGCCAGGTTGGCTGGAAAACAAAAGAAAAACAAAAACACCAGGTAGGCACGAAGCCAGGTAGGCAGGAGGGTAGCCAGGTAGCCAGGTAGGCACGAAGCCAGGTAGGCAGGAAAACAAAAAAAAGACAAAACACCAGGTAGGCACAAAGCCAGGTAGGCACTTGCACTAGGCAGAAGGGTAGCCAGGTAGGCACGTAGCCAGGTAGGCAGGAAAACAAAAGAAAGAAATAAACACCAGGTAGGCACTAAGTCAGGTAGGCAGTAGGGTAGCCAGGTAAGCACGAAGCCAGGTAGGCGGGAAAATAAAAGAAAGAAACAAACACCAGGTAGGCACTAAGCCAGGTAGGCAGGAAAACAAAAAGAAAGAAACACCAGGTATGCACGAAGCCAGGTAGGCAGGAGGGTAGCTAGGTAAGCACGAAGCCAGGTACGTAGGAAAACAAAAGAAAGAAAGAAAACACCAGGTAGGCAGAAAGCAAGGTTGGCAGGAAAACAAAAGAAAGACAAAAACGCCAGGTAGGCACGAAGCCAGGTAGGCACTTGCACTAGGCAGAAGGGTAGCCAGGTAGGCACGAAGCCAGGTAGGCAGGAGGGTAGCCAGGTAGCCAGGAAAACAAATGAAAGAAAGAAACACCAGGTATGCACGAAGCCAGGTAGGCAGGAGGGTAGCCAGGTAGGCACGAAGCCAGGTACGTAGGAAAACAAAAGAAAGAAAGAAACACCAGGTAGGCACGAAGCCAGGTAGGCAGGAGGGTAGCCAGGAAAACAAATGAAAGAAAGAAACACCAGGTAGGCACAAATCCAGGTAGGCAGGAGGGTAGTCAGGTAGGCACGAAGCCAAGTAGGCGGGAAAACAAAATAAAGAAAGAAACACCAGGTAGGCACAAAGCGAGGTAGGCAGAAGGGTAGCCAGGTAGGCACGAAACCAGGTAGGCAGGAAAACAAAAGAAAGACATAAACACTATGAAGGCACTTAGCCAGGTAGGCAGGAGGGTAGCCAGGCAGTAAAACAAAAGAAAGAAAGAAACACCAGGTAGGCACGAAGCCAGGTAGGCAGGAGGGTAGCTAGGTAGGCACGAAGCCATGTAGGCGGGAAAACAAAAGAAAGAAAGAAACACCAGGTAAGCATGAAACCAGGTAGGCAGGAGGGTAGCCAGGTAAGCACGAAGCCAGGTAGGCGGGAAAACAAAAGAAAGAAAGAAACACCAGGTAGGCACTATTCAGGTAGGCAGGAGGGTAGCCAGGTAGCCAGGAAAACAAAAGAAAGAAAGAAACACCAGGTAGGCACGATGCCAGATAGGCAGGAGGGTAGCCAGGTAAGCACGAAGCCAGGTAGGTAGGAAAACAAAAGAAAGAAAGAAACATCAGGTAGGCAAGAAACCAGGTAGGCAGGAGGGTAACCAGGTTAGGCAGGAAAACAAAAGAAAGAAAGAAACACCAGGTAGGCACTAATCCAGGTAGGCAGGAGGGTAGCCAGGTAAGCACGAAGCCAGGTAGGCGGGAAAACAAAAGAAAAAAAGAAACAACAGGTAGGCACTAAGCCAGGTAGGCAGGAGGGTAGGCAAGTAGGCAGGAAAACAAAAGAAAGAAAGAAACACCAGGTAGGCACGAAACCAGGTAGGCATGAGGGTAGCCAGGTAAGCAGGAAAACAAAAGAAAGAAAGAAACACCAGGTAGGCACGAAGCCAGGTAGGCGGGAAAACAAAAAATAGAAAGAAACGCCAGGTAGGCACGAAGCCAGGTAGGCACTTGCACTAGGCAGAAGGGTAGCCAGGTAGGCACGAAGCCAGGTAGGCAGGAGGGTAGCCAGGTAGCCAGGAAAACAAATGAAAGAAAGAAACACCAGGTATGCACGAAGCCAGGTAGGCAGGAGGGTAGCCAGGTAGGCACGAAGCCAGGTACGTAGGAAAACAAAAGAAAGAAAGAAACACCAGGTAGGCAAGAAGCCAGGTAGGCAGGAGGGTAGCCAGGAAAACAAATGAAAGAAAGAAACACCAGGTAGGCACAAATCCAGGTAGGCAGGAGGGTAGTCAGGTAGGCACGAAGCCAAGTAGGCGGGAAAACAAAATAAAGAAAGAAACACCAGGTAGGCACAAAGCGAGGTAGGCAGAAGGGTAGCCAGGTAGGCACGAAACCAGGTAGGCAGGAAAACAAAAGAAAGACATAAACACTATGAAGGCACTTAGCCAGGTAGGCAGGAGGGTAGCCAGGCAGTAAAACAAAAGAAAGAAAGAAACACCAGGTAGGCACGAAGCCAGGTAGGCAGGAGGGTAGCTAGGTAGGCACGAAGCCATGTAGGCGGGAAAACAAAAGAAAGAAAGAAACACCAGGTAAGCATGAAACCAGGTAGGCAGGAGGGTAGCCAGGTAAGCACGAAGCCAGGTAGGCGGGAAAACAAAAGAAAGAAAGAAACACCAGGTAGGCACTAATTCAGGTAGGCAGGAGGGTAGCCAGGTAGCCAGGAAAACAAAAGAAAGAAAGAAACACCAGGTAGGCACGATGCCAGATAGGCAGGAGGGTAGCCAGGTAAGCACGAAGCCAGGTAGGTAGGAAAACAAAAGAAAGAAAGAAACATCAGGTAGGCACGAAACCAGGTAGGCAGGAGGGTAACCAGGTTAGGCAGGAAAACAAAAGAAAGAAAGAAACACCAGGTAGGCACTAATCCAGGTAGGCAGGAGGGTAGCCAGGTAAGCACGAAGCCAGGTAGGCGGGAAAACAAAAGAAAAAAAGAAACAACAGGTAGGCACTAAGCCAGGTAGGCAGGAGGGTAGGCAAGTAGGCAGGAAAACAAAAGAAAGAAAGAAACACCAGGTAGGCACGAAACCAGGTAGGCATGAGGGTAGCCAGGTAAGCAGGAAAACAAAAGAAAGAAAGAAACACCAGGTAGGCACGAAGCCAGGTAGGCGGGAAAACAAAAAATAGAAAGAAACACCAGGTAGGCACGAAGCCAGGTAGGCAGGAGGGTAGCCAGGTAGGCAGGATAACAAAAGAAAGAAAGAAACACCAGGTAGGCACTAAGCCAGGTAGGCAGGAGGGTAGCCAGGCAGTAAAACAAAAGAAAGAAAGAAACACCAGGTAGGCACGAAGCCAGGTAGGCAGGAGGGTAGCTAGGTAGGCACGAAGCCATGTAGGCGGGAAAACAAAAGAAAGAAAGAAATACCAGGTAGGCACGAAGCCAGGTAGGCAGGAGGGTAGCCAGGTAGGCACGAAGCCATGTAGGCAGGAAAACGAAAGAAAAAAAGAAATACC